TCAACGAACAAGGGAAGACAGGACGTCATGGTACTCCTTGGGAACATGGAAGGAGTTGTGAGTAAGGAGTGGCATAGGCTGCAGTAGCTGAGAAGAGACACGGTGCCCAGTAGTCAATGAGACGAGAGCAGCGTCTGCAACGGCATCGAGGAGGACCACGCTTCCACGCCCAACTTATCTCGAAGGTGCCACTATTCGTTGCTCTGATTCTAGAAGGACCCGACATTAGCACTACCTCATTAACAGACGGCGTCCATACCAGCTGCATGGGATAGTAGAAAGTGCTTACCCCCAAAGCATCTTTAAATGTTCGTCCACGTCTGCCGATGATTTGGATTTCTCAAACAGACCACGATTTCAAGAGTATTTGACTATTTGAAGGCCTAATGTGCAAGTGAAGGTGAGAAAAGCGCACTACTGAGAACGAAAGAGGAGTCTATTAGGTTCCAGGGGCACAAAAAGGAACGTTTTAAAAAGCACTGTAATTCTAGAACAAACTGATTTGCGTAGAGGCAAGGTTAAGTTGCATAAAAGGTACTACATGAAAACGTGAGACAAACTTACGACCTAACGCCAGCTGCTGCAGTCCCATTTTCCTCAAGGGAAAGAACCCCCAAATATACTTTGAAAAATCACTTCCAGGATGCTTTCGCCCTCTCCACCTTTCACCAACGAAGAATGCGTTCCAAAAGTTAACTGCATTTTGCATTTCACAACACCTTCATTCCTCTGACAAATCGAACATTTGTCACAATTATGCACATTCGCTTTAACACGGAAATTAAAAATCTGAAATCACTCACCTTCATCTCCTGAATCCTGCTCTGACCCTCAAGTTGCATCTAGCCATGATTATTCACACCACTTGCTGAAACATTTTTAATCCCTTGACAAAGCAACTGCAATCATACCGAATGTTCATTTGTCCACTGAGCACACGGGGCTGACCATGAGCCTCCACCCTCAAGGAGTTCATTGTAATGGTGCTTTTACAGAATGAATGACTTGGACGACTGCCTTTCGCACGTTTGGCTCGATATTTACGGTCAGAATCCATTCGGGCCATGAACAGGTATAAAACAGCACACTAAGACAACTTTTAATGTACCGCCTCTGACTTTCGAGGTTATTGGCCGATTCGAGAGCACTGATTATTATTAGCGACCCATTTACTTATCATTTTCAAATAAGACTTTAGAACAAATTACCCTAAACAATTTAATTGATTTTTTACGGAATTTGATACCGCATACAAATCTGTTACCGCAAAAATTTTATGAACTATACGTCCTACCAATTTATTATCAATTTTAATGCAAATCTTACAACTTACAATCTGCATAGTATTAGTACCATCTTCGTATTGTATGTAATTCAATTTTCTGAAATGCTAGAATAACTTTCCAATGCGAAGATTTTGATCTATTTTTACGTTTCTAATTTAGAGCACTTTCATTCTGTGCTTAGAGGGAAACAAAAA